TGATAAAAGCTATAAAGAGTTGTCTTAAACATATTTTCAAAGGTTTGTAAGGCTAGGACAAAAAAAACCAACCAAAAAACAAAAGAACAACAACAACAACAACAACAACAAAAGAGCAACAAAAAAAACAAAATAAAAAACGACCAAGCTTTTAGTGGTCCATCGTGCTAATTTTAAAAATCAAAGTGGAGAAGAGAGAGACACAGCAGATCAGTGTTCCTTGTCAATTTTACCACCAGGCAACAAAATGCGTAAATTGTTTGTTGGCATGCACACAAGTTTATATTGTAAAGCTGAGTTGCAGAAAATCACAATTAGCTGGTAGACCCTTATTTATTTGTTTTGAAGAATTCTTTTAATGGACTATTTCTCCGGACTTTTAGCCAGGGACAATGGGAGAAAAATAATTAAAAGCTGTAGGGGATAATTTAAAAAAAAAGTAATTGTAAACTTTTTTTAACCTTCTTTAATAGAGAATGCTACAATATGTCTAGGGAGTAATTGTGAAGTTATATAAATGTATGCATTTTGTCATTTTGCATATATTGGTATTCATACTTTCATATAGCTTAAGGATAGAAAATCTAAACCACTTCCCATGGAAACTAGCATAGTAATAGGGAAAAAAATAAAGCAGATGCACCACTTGTCCTAATCTAAAACTGAACCAGGTCAAAATTCTTGCAATATTAAAAATTTCAGCTAATTGCATTGTACTTCTTCCAACTGTATAGTCAGCAGGCTCAAACTATTATCAGCACACATATGGTCAAAGAAAACGATGTCATACGGTTATAACATCCTTCTGCAGCAACTAGCAGAGAGAGCTGCAGAATACTAAAACCCTTTCCTTACCCAGTGCTGTGAGATGTCGTGTTGCACTGCATACAGATGTGGAGCACACCAGCAACAACTGACTCTGTCCTGTGGAGAACACATGTGCCCACATTATGTCCAACACACTTCTAAAAGAACAAACAGCAGCTGCACTCTTTTGCTAATCAGTTGGTGACTCTGGAAACTCCCATGTGAGATACTTCCTCTCTGTGGCCCAACACATCTACACCATGTCCTTCTCCTGCCCTCACTGCAGTAGTGTTAGCTGAGGGTTGCATGTGAGGATGGTGCCTCTCACGTGCAGTACAGTGGCACCTACCTTTCCAGTCTCCTACTGTGTTTTGAATTCTGCACCCTGGTTCCAGATTCCAGGCTCCTCTAAGACAAATAACTGATTTTGTCAGGCCAGCCTTACATAGATGCTAGAGATCCAATGTGCTCCTTTTGACTGGGATAAGAATTGTCTTCACAGTGACTAGTATGGGGTTATGTTTTGGATTTGTGCTGAACACAGGGCTGATAATACAGAGATGTTTTTGTTATTGCTGAGCAGGGCTTACACAGCCAAGGCCGCTTCTGCTTTTCATGCTGCCACGCTGGTGAGGAGGCTGGGAGTGTTTGGGAGGCTGGGAGGAGACACAGCCAGGACAGGTGACCCAGCTGTTGGTTGAGACTGTTTTTGCTGTCTCCCTATCCTTTTTTTCCTTTCCAGAAAGCTAGGAAGGACAAAGAAAGTTTCAAGTTTTGTTTCATCTTTAAAATCACTTCTGTGAGGTAGGAGAGTCAGTGCTAGTACCTGACCAAATCCTTTTTCTTCTCTTTGTAGACTGAGACACTTGAACTAATGTATCACGAACAGTTCCTGACAGTGGGGATTGTTTGCTCATGCTAGATAATGCAAAGAGAAAAGACACAACTCTTTCTGAATTTTTTGGTTGGTTGGTTTAAGGAACTGAATTGTTTCTCCTTAGAATGTTAAGTAAAAATATTCCAAGAATTTTCCTATGAACTAGATGGAGAAGCATTCACTATGCTAAGACTTTACTGAAGGCAACATCTGAATACATTTTCTGAAATGAGTAGGTGAAGTTAGCACTCATTTTCGAGGGGGAAAAATCACCACTTGCACACAACTGATGCTACCAGCTGTGTAGGGAATGTGGAAGTATCAAAGGAAGCACATAAAAAAAGGCTGGTTTCAATCACCACAGAGAGATGTCCTCTGTATTTTGGGATAATAAACGGAAATAAAATGTTGCATTATTAGATTGCGTTTAATATATGCAATATTATTTTGTTCTTTAATTCCACTGTCTTGATGTTGTGCACACATTTGACTAGATGCTTAAAGAAAGGGCACAAGGCTGCCAGCTTGATAAATGGGAAAACTTGTAAAACATAATCAGAGGGAAGAATCACCACATTTCATAGAAAGAATGGATTAAAACTGCTTTTACCAAAGTTAGGATGACCAAATTCTCACAGATATCAATGGCAGTTGAATACATTTGATGATCTGGTGTGATTAAACAGCTTAGATATCCAGAACTTTCTTCAAGGATGGAAATCAGAGAACTGGAATCATTGAGCAATCTCCTGAAAAGCATGTCCAAAATCCAGGTTGAAAAAGCCTTCCTTGCTGCTGAAGAATTATTAAACTGACAAGATCAGTGGAGGGAGTATCATTTACCAAATGCGAATTTCCAATGCAGATAAAGGTGTGGGAGAAGTGGCTAAAAAGGTGGAAAAACCCATTAGAGTTGCTGCTGGCTGGAAACCAATGATAAAAGCAAACACCGTTTTCATCTGAAAACCACTTAATTTAAAACACGTGACTCATGACAGACTATTGATTAGTTAAGCACCCTCAACTAAAGCAGACTACTTCTTGTTGGGTTTATTCCAGAACGCTTGCCAAGTCCTAGTTATGCAAAAATTATCCAGTTTGAAAGGACATGAGTACATCACAGCTCTGAAGGATCTGCAATGTGAATTAGGCTATTAATCCATCAAATCCAGTTGCCTGCTGGTGATGATAACTAATTCCTGAGACTTAGAAAAAGTAGAAAAATAAAAGAAAACCAAGCTACCAAGAACCCAGCATAATCATGAGCACCTAACCAATTGTATAGTCCCCTACATATTTATTTGTTCAGATTTAAAAATTATAGAAACTGAATCAGCATTATAGAGCTTTCATAACTTAAAACTCACCATGTTAAAGTACAAATTCTGAAATACTCCTGACTGAATGCAATACAAATAAAATGGTCCAAATGAAAAAGAAACAAAATAACAAAAAATATGAAAACAAATTTTGAATAAGCTAACAGTAGAGATATTCTCCCAAGAGATGAGAAGTAGGAGTTTGCTATTGCACATTCTGATAAGATATAATGTCACATTCTCAAAAAATATCACACTTACATGTGCAGAACAAGTGACAGTGGTGTCCATGCAGACCTTGCTGCATCACATTTTATTGGGAATATTTTAGGGCTCCTATCACTTTTAAAAACGGTCACATTTCAGAGAACACCCCCAGTCTTCATGCTTTCTAACATATTTAATAGCTACTATTAAATAATACGCCTAGAAAAGATATCCTTCAGAACACAAAAGCACATGTTTCTCCCTCAAAAACGTCAGACTATTTTATGTAAGCTTTATGTAAATTTTTGTAAACTTGTTTCTCAAGTTTACTTTTCAATCTAGATTCTGAAGCATATGGAAAGCAGTACTTACACGTAGCACTGAACTTCTCCATAAAAAATACTAAGAGAAATGCAAAACAAGTGGCAAGCACAAAACGTATTTGCTTGCGACTACTTCACACACTCATTCCAAATACCTGAATAAAATCTTTTAATCACATTGTTAAATATGCAGCATTGTGTAGGGTTTGTCTTTTTTTTAGTAGTCTAATTATACTCAAATGTGCCTTTGATATTCTGGGCAGGGACAGTGAAATCAGAGCATGTGCTCTAAATACACAGTACTGAAAATAACCCATATAAAAATTATAAACAAAGCACTGTACCACTCCTGTATAAGCCAAATACTGTGAAAAGAAAACAAAGAACATGTTCCGAATGTTTTGCTTTTTATGTGCTCCTAATAATGCATAATACTCAGACTCTCATTTACTTCATTCCACAGATTTTATGGAAATGGAATACTATGATGTTAGGGGCAAATAACAGTATTTATGATTCTTTTGCACAGACTACAGCACTACTTGTATTTGGAAAGGTTTCTAGCATCATGTCCAAAGTTGCACATTTCTGTACTATAATGCTGTTCCTCAGCCATCAGTGTGCTGATGTAAATCCAAGCTCAAGGATAAAAACACACAAATTCACAAAAATCATGCAATTTCTAACACTGTAGATAATCTGTATTATAAGACATATATAATGTACCTGGATAAGAAGCTCAACATCATTTTAAAAAAAAATAACATGGCAACCATATAGGGATCCCTCTTGAAACACTTAATTTGCATCAATGCAAAGTTCACCTTGCCTTTAATGAGAAATTATGTGAAAGATTAATGCAGCAAATTACAACTACACAAACTTGGGATTAATTATAAACCACAACTGGATTTTACCAGTTTTGTTTCTTACAGCAAAATTTTCTTTTTTTTTGCTGTAGAAGGGAAACACTAAAAAATGTAGAAGACCAATAGTAATATTTCACTGCTTAGCATACAGCTATTACTTTAATAAACTTAAATGAAAATTTGAACAGAAAAAAATGCAGATTGCTGTGGGGATCACACTTGAAAATTGTATTTCTCCCTGCAGTAACAGAAATTGAAGTCTTCCTTAGTTATTTGTCTCATTGTTTACCGACTTGCTTGTTGCCCAGCAACTACCGTATGAAGGAACTACAATTCTTAGCCATTCTCATTTTAATCTTGAAAAAGCAGATTAAGATTACTGTGTGAGTAGTCTCTTTCTGGTGAGATACTGTAATATTTCAGTTTCTATACCTGCAAAAAGGAAGCCAAGTGACTGGAGAATCCAGTACTTCCGCTCTGTCAAAGGTTCACCTTCTCTGCCCTTGTATCAACCCATTTACTGACCAACTATTTGAATATTGTCAGGTACTTTGTAATATTTGAGCTATAGCAAAAGAAGCAAACATCTGTCACTTACATTCTTGAATCATCCCACAGCACACAGTAGGGATTCAATGTGCCCTAAGAAGAAAACAAACAGACCTATTAGTTACCCATATGCAAAAATATTTGTCATGTTTGACCTAAAAATGTATTTGGGTCTCCTCCTACAAGATCATCCTCATAGCCTGATGAATTGATGCCACTGAAATGGCAAATGCTTAAAGTTAATTCTTATAGGGTACTTTGAAGGCACTTGAACCTCAGAGCAGAGTACATGTGAATTCTCTGCTTAGATAAGAAAAGCATAAAGTTGTCTATTTGGTATATCCTAGTGGAAATAAAAGATGAAATAATAGTTAGTCTGTTACGAGACTTGACAGAACATTTCTGGTGTTTTTAGAGGAGGAACCTTAGACCCCCTAGGAACTTGGATGTAAAAATCAGTAATGGCTTTAAAAATTTTAAGCATATGTTGGACAAAATGTCTTGAGGTTGTGATTTCAGATTCACACACCCTACATTCAGTGTCCAAAGGTTTTGTCAATTAGGTCCCAAATCAGCAGAGTTTTTTGCTCTAAGTATTTTTTTGTTTGTTTGTGATTGAGCTTTACAATACTGGCTCCCATCTCTTCAAAGTCCGTGAAAGATTTCTGATTTGATTCAGAACAGAATAGGAATCTAGGTTTTTATTACAAATCACTGAACTATGGAAAATTTTTTGGGAAATTGAAAAAGCTATAAAATTATTCATGTTTATTTTGTTGCCTAGGAAGTGTAGAGACAAAATTAAAATTTACTCAGATGGATTTAGAAGTACTTAGAAGTGCTAAACTATATCCTTGTTCACTATAAGCCCTAGATGTTCCCAGGAGTCAGAACTACATTAAAAAAAATATATAAAATATAGAAATAAGAATGTATTTTTTAAAAATCGTATGTGATTCGAGGAGGCAGGTGGAGTTCACTATTTTTGGATGTCAATGCTAGTGAACAGTATAGATGCAGTAGATATAAAGGTACTTTCATATAAACAATGTATACCTTAATATTTCACTCTCAAAAATGATTTATTTATAGAAAAACATGGCAACGTGTAAAGTAAAAATCTATTAAATATTTAAATTATTCCATCTACCTCTTTTATCAAAGACAAAATGGAGGACCATTTTATTCTGGAGATGCTTGTGAGAGCGGCATTTAGGGAATTTTTGAGCCTCTACTTCAGTATTTTGCTGACTGCATTGAATTTTATGAGTAGAGTATAAATATTTAAAACCAACATATACTTATGGCACTTTATATTTACATTGCACTGTACAAACATAAATAAAGGATGTTCCTTCCATCCCTTGAAGTATTTATAATATAAAGAAGATGAAGGGGAAGAGGACACAGGACAAAGCAGTGGATAATAGGCTAATTGAGATTCAGAGACCAGGTCCTGCATCACTTGCCAGGAGTTTTCAGATACTTTGTTGGACTAAGAGATAGAAGGATAAGAATTAGGAACAAAAGAATATCAGTGCAGAATTAAATTTTCTTTAAAATGTAATTTTATAAAGAGTAATAATTTGTATAGTGAGTCCAAGTGAAGAAGTTTTACTTAAAATCTCACACAGCTATATGCATATTAAAAACATAATTCTATAACTGCATCATAATAAGGCTTTGCATCTTTCAGATCTAAGACTTCTCTTTCACAGCAGTGGACATCATATAGCTTATGCTTGCTATTCCCACAGTGCAAATAGAATGAATACAATAACACTTTCAGAAAAAAAGTCCATTACAAAATAGAGGGTAAGAAAAACCTTTGCAGAAAACTGAAACATGATAAAATTGCTGTCAGATCACACATTTTGCTCTCCTTGAAATCTATTCGAATGGAAAGAGTTTGTTTGGCCATTGCAGTCACTAATGAGAGATTAGGCAGAAATATGGGAAGCAGGATAAATAACACTTCTGTTCCACAAGAAAGTCTTGTGGGAGGGTTTGTTCCACCAGAAGTGGCAGCTTGCAAGGGCACAGCACCCTTTCAGAACTTCTTCATCTTTTGATACTTGATCAAATACTCTTCAAGCACCACCAGGGACCACAAAGAGCTTGTTTCTCTGTTTGCTTCTTTGCCTTTAATCTGTTGCTCCCTTTTTCACAGCCTTTCTGGGGTACCCCTTGGCAGTGCTCTAGAGCTGCCTCCAGCACCATGGCTCTCTGTGAGGGCAGTGCTCTTACCAGCTAATTACCCAGCTGCAGCTAAGGAAGCAGCTACTGTGTTCATTAGCATTTACAACTGCTGTAGCATTGATTTATACACCACAGTATGTTACTTGGATAGCTCAAAAATGGGCATGTGTGTATGTGCATGTATCTCTGTCTGGCATATAAAACTGAACTTTTGAGATGTGATTGGCAACTTTGACAGCTATCCAGCTCAGTGACAACTGTGTTTTGTAGCCAGGGTTTTCAGTCACACTGAAAGCTTCATGTCCTATGCTACTGCTGGCTGGTTATTCCAGTGTCCCTAGAGTACATTTCTGTGCTGTCAGAAGGCAAGAGCTCATATTCTCTCTAGAGCAAACGGGATTCTGTTTGAGTTGCACATTTTTTTTTAAAGATTGCTTTGACTAAAGTGTACCTTTAATCAAACTACTGGAAAAATGTGGCCATATTCCTCTATATGTTCGCAGTTTACAAGACCAAATCCATTCTCTAAATTCAGAATATTCTGAATTGAAAAGGATCCACTAAAGACCATCAAGCCCAACTCTTAAGTCAATGGCCATATGGGGATTGAACCCTCAACCTCGGTGCTAATTATTATTAGCTCAATGCTCTAACCAACTGAGCAATGATGCATTGCAACCCACATTCCACTCTGGTCAGCTCTCTGTTATATTTTTATTTACCTACAAATCCAAATACCATACAATATATTTCAAACAGCAGATGCAATTATGATTTGCACTTCCTCCAAAAGATAATCCTCCAGTTTTATTAACAAACTGGATTAAAAAATGAAATTACTATAGATTTTGAATAAATTGGTATTTTAAGCCTGATTTTAATTAGCCATATTAATTATTTTTAAATTATCCATTTGCCCATCTTTTTTCATAATATCTTATTTACATAATTTAGTCAGTAGATAAGGAGGTGAAAGAAAAAATGTGTGGATATACTCCTATGTACTAGCAGGCATGGTCTATGAAATGCTTAAAATATCATCATTAAATTAATTTGTAAACAAATTGTTCTGAATAAATGAACAGCCTTTCTAAGCAAAAAGGGTTGGAAAGAACAAATACAACACTGCAAAATTAAAAAAAATCAGATGAAAGAGAACATATTTTATTTTCTCTTTAATAATTAATCTATTTAACTTACATAATGTTAAATCTGTGAGCCATTAATATATAATGTTAAAATATTAAAGATATATAACAATGGTTCTATGTTGCTATATGTACATAAAGCTCGTTCTATGGTAATATAATAGAGCAAATCCTTATTTTCAGCTGAGAAAATTATAGCAACGAATTAGATTCAGTCTAGAGGAATACTCAGATTTAAAAAATCTTATTTCTGTGCATCTACAGCCTTACTTCTTTAAACCAAAGTCCCATTATGAAGGCTAATGACTAATGTTTAAAGATATTAAAACTACATAACTGATTTGTATTCAAAGATTTTCTGGAGCAATATATTGTCACTGTATCTGCCAATCCAACTTGTATATTGTATATCCTTAAATATAGTATGTATGAAAATTTGATCCAAGCACTTGATGCTTCTCTAGATTATATTATAGGATAAAAAACTGAACAATAAAAGAGAAATTATCTGATATGTATTGGAAAGGTAATTATCTTTTTGCTTGGTCGAGACCTGAGCTCATACAATATTAATTAATATTCTGTTACTGAAAGGTTGCCAAAGCAAGGTGACAATCAGTATCTCTAACCTGATCTTTTGTAACAATGAAGTTTAATTTCCAAGTTCTTCAAACTTGGCAAAAACTTGCTCTGTAAATTAATCAACGGGAGTGATAAAAAAAAGATGAAAAAGAAAACCTTAAGAATTTTGTGGGATTTCATCTTCTGGGGTTGGCAGTTCAACCTTTTATTATTCTAGTCTTGCCTGTGTTGTGCTTGTTTTATTAGCTTGTGTTTGGTCTAGAAATATTTTCAATGCTGAAAAATTGCTTACTAGTGTTATTTTCTTATATGATTTTAAAACTTCTTTTCTTGCATGTGACCAAATTAATGAGAATTTTTTTCTTACCTATTACCCCATGTGCCACTTTACCTGTTACTTTTACAAGTAGTGATTTCAGTTTCAAAATATAAATGTCATATTCTGCAATTTGTGTAATAGCCCCCTAATCATTGTTAAAATAAGAGATAATAAAATCTAGCATTGAAAATTACCATAAATTCTTCCTGATAATGACCATAATAATATCAAAATAAGTATTCTATTGCAAAGGTCATTGATTTCCCCCCTGATATATAGGATTAATTTGTGTTTACTTCAGCAAAAACTTTGTAATATTTTTAGTGAAATACCTGACAGAAACAAGTTATGTTAAAGATTAAGATTTTCTCCTAATATATATGATGTAATTTAGGTTTGAAAGAAAATAAATCAAAACAGGACATGAAATCTACATGTCCTAAAACATCTTACAAATTAATTGAAACAGAGAACTATAAAACCCCAAATTGACAAAATTCTTCATCACTACATTTTTACTGTTGTTGAAAGGTAAGGAGTCAGCTCGGTTCATGTTCCTCCGTTCCTCTTTTCTGCCAAGCTTTCACTGAGATGTTCCTTGCATAGGTGTTTTTCTGGGAACTGAATGGCAGGTCATAATGACCACTGATTGCAAAATAGCTTTTTCTAACCTTGAGTAAAATGTTAATGAAACATGTAGAGTTCAAAAAGTTTTCTTCATACTTTTGGCCAGACTCATTATTTCAATTTTGCTACTGACTGAAATATTTGGATCTTCTCTAGCTGAATTGTATCTATATGAACACTTGAATAACTGTTTTTAACTTAAAAATTACAGCTTTACAGATTCTTGCATAACAATACAATTTTCAAAAGCTTGAGTAACTGTCTCTTCTGACTCTTTATGATTTTATTCAAAGCAAACTCAAGCTCTTAAGAACATAAACAGAGAGTTTATATATTGTGACTTCACATGAATTACCCCCATGCTTGTTATTTAACATTATTTTCTCAGTATTGTATATGAAAGTAATTTTACACAAAAGACATATTTTATTCTCCCTGTGAGCACTGGGAGACTGCTAAAAACAGAAAGAAAAAAATCTTTATCTTTTTCATACATTTGGAATTAAAGTACTTTTTTTTCATATTTGAGATTAAAGCCTGAAAAGTATAGAATTTAAATGATTGCACAAAATATCTCAAGCATTTATGAGGACTCTAAGCTAAATTGGAACCAGAGCATTTTTGTAGTCTGCTCCAATGGGTTAAGTAAAAACTAGCTTCTATAAAATAATGAAAGAAAGGAAGAACTACTGTAGCTCTATGACCTATGCAGGGAGCAAAAGGTTAAGTAGTCAGTACAATAATACATTTCCAATTGTAACCATGAAAGCATTTAATAGAAATTATTCACTAGAAATTGCTGTTTAACAAAAACCCTCAACATTCACAAAACAGCAATTAATTTTGTTTTGTTTATATGCATGCATGAAACAAATACACATTCCTTTCAAAGATTGTTGTACTGTTCCTGGGCTTAAATTTTAGAAGTTAAACTGTATTTTATTACCTTATATTTAAAACAACACCAATTATTTTCTCCCATGTGTTCTAGAAAATACTCTTGTAAAAGCATATCAACTATCCTTGTACTTACATTAGACAGGTGGGCCAGTTCTATCTCCAGGAAAGAATCTGTAGTTTTAGGCTCAGGTCGTATAGTAACAACAATGATTTTTGAATTAACAACTGTAAAATTCCTGTAAGAAAATGCAAAAATGGAAAATGTAAGTGTTTATAAGGTAATGCAAGGTTATGCTAATACAGGCAAAAAGACATGTTGACACTTTCATGTAGGAGATCCTTGCTTCTTATGACCCTATCAGGTTTAGAATGACCATCAGTTATCAGCCTGACTGTTTGTGGTGATCATTATGGCATTTACTTTTGTGTGTAATGCTGCTTTCCACACCTCACAGAAATCTTATCAAAGAATGTTATCAAAGAAGAAACTAAACAGTTTAGATGTAATTATAATAGACAGTAAAAATATTCTTTTGCTTCTGTTGTCGTTTAATTGCTTATTTTCTCTTGGGAGTTTGTATTTAGAAGAGAATTCCATTTTGCTGGATCATTGAAACAGGAATTGCCATGGCTACAGTAATAGAAACTTAGCTTAGCAGGCATTTCATTCAACACAAGGAATGAAATTGTACTTTTGGGGCAAGATATGAGTTCTAGTCCAATTTTACTCAGCCAAATCACATAATGAAAATATAATGGAACTGACTTTCTATTTTACTTAATTCCTATTTCTTCCCTTTGGTTACACTTATAAGTCTCACACACTTATTGACAAAAATGTATCTATCAGGCTAAAATTTAATGTTTAGCTAATTTTCAGTGCATTCTGTAGAATCACAGTAGCTGAATATATGTAATTATTAAAAAAGAACCAACCCCCCCAGCCAAATAAAACTCCAAATAAATAAATAAAAAACTTCATTTCTCTAACACATCATGACAAATGAAAATGGTGCTTGCTATGTATTCACAGATTATGTCAATTTTAGAAATTCATGCAAACTATTGTAAATGCTGCTACTTCAGTACTCTTTTACAGTCAGTCTTTGTGATTGAAAAAGTCTTCCTGGGTCTATCTCATTTTGGTGCAGTTCTGACAGTTCTAGGGCGAGATCTGAAAGAACATCTAAGTGCCTAGTTTGTAACTTCAGTACATTCATTTTACCTTGATCTCATTAGAACTCTATCAATCCACTTAAATTCTCAAGAGTCCCAAGCAGACTGTTTCACAATAAAATAAATATAACTGCCTATATTACTGTGAAATGAAAACTGCATCCCTCATCGCTGTCCTGTCTGGGCTGAATGCCTACTTGCATATTTCATATTTAACTGCTTGGACAGTCCCTGGAAGAATACAATCTGTATTCTAAAGAATATTCTAAAGTATATTCTAACTCACATAGCATATTAAGATGCCTCTAAATTAAAGGTCAAAGCTTTGTAGTCAAAAACAATTTCAAAAATTAGAAAAAATCTCAAAACCACCAGTGCAGTGCCATTGCTATCTCTGTTGAAGATCTTTTTTAAACAACAACCTAGCTTTGAGAACAATTATCCAAGAATTTAAGTAATCAGTTTTTACAAAATGTCCTTGGACATTTAAATTTCAGTCCTTCTTATGTTGTGAATGACATATAATGGAAATGATCTAGCTCACACTTCCTGGGCAAGTGCATTATCTTACAGCTTTTTTATAGTGGAGTGACTTCACCATTAGCTCCTTTTCCTTCATGAAAAATAATCTAAGACTCAACCTTAATGAGAAATGAAGTTTTACAGGTTGGTGCTCTGCTGACTGTCCAGAAAGATGCTCATCATGGTTAAGTTTTGAAATAAATTATTCAAAAACAATCTACTAAATTTCTTGGAAACTATGGCTGAATAAATCCTTGAAGATTCAAGATAGAAAGTGATGGAGTAAAAGCTCAAGAAACGCTTTCAGAGCTGCTGTCCTGGAGCTTTTTCCTGATCTGAGTCAATAATGATATTAATAAAAGAGAGGGTTTTTGTAAACTGTTTTCCTATCAGGGTATAAATTTTCAGGATTCTCTTTTATGTAAGAGAAATCACATTGATCCTATATGGTATGAAATTCATATCTTCTTCTCTTTTTAGAATGAATCCATGTTACTTAAGAAAAATGAACTTATGAATAAGGCATGTAGCTATCTCAAGACAGCATGATCGAAGTTATAGATCAATGTGTAAAAGTTGTATGCACTACAGAAAAATTACAGATGCTAGAATCTGTAATGTGAAGCAATAAAAGCTTGCATGAGGTATGTCCTTAGTCTAACAAAGCTGACACAAAGAAATTTAAGGGCCTTTTTGTTTGTACAGCACCTGAAGTTTGGGGTTAGACACGATGTTTCAAATGGGGAAAGAGAGCATTTCAGTGAAGAAAATTTTAGCAGGAAATTTATGGTGGCTATTTAAGTGATGGGAAAAAAAACTAGATACAGCAAAAACATTGATGCTGTATTCTTGTTTCTTAAAGGAAAATTTTAAAACTATTTTACATTATGGCAATATGCAATGTATTTCTTCAGAGTGCTCAAGAGAGAAATTATAGATAATATCTTTTAGATGAGTATTGTACTGAGAATCAATTTTCTGTGAACCTAACAGTAACGTAAGTGTGCTCAGGGGTGCAAGAGCTATGGAAATAATACTCATCTAAAGTTCTGAAAATATTCGATATTTCAATATCTGCTATTAAAAAATCTGTAAGATATTACAAGAACAGTGCAATGCAGCAAAATATATTAGGAAATAGAATCAGATGAAGTTTATTTACTTGTGCATGGAAAAAAAACATTCTTCTATTTTTATGAGGAAGAATTTTCTTCTTGTTGTTTCCCTAAACTCTCATTTAAACACTCCTGGCAAAAATCTCTGAATGAAGATCTGAAAATTATATGGCCCTATTGATGCTTTCCTAGGACTGGCAGATTTTTCCTAAGGTCTACCAAAAAGAACTAACTCTAATAAGGCAGTTGTCACTGGTTCTTTGAATATGGGGCAAAAACCCCCAACTTTTACAAACATCTCTTCCCTCCTGGCTAGTTTCAGAAACTGGTACAATAAATGAGAAGTGCTTAGTGACACTTCAGAAGTGAATGAGATGCCTTAAGCACAGATGGCCCTTGCCAGCTCTTTCTGGCTTCCAGGTGTCCTCTCAGGACATCACTGATCAAATTGTGCTCTAACTCAGACACATTTCCGTCTCTAACTTACAGCTCCTCATTGCACAGCACATTGAAACTTTTGTTAGGAAGCAGTTTTTAAATATTCTTAGGAATTAGCCTTTTTTTTGTTTTCATATAGATTATGGCAAAATCTCTTGCTTTCCATTCTTTGTTTCAAATCCTGATGTTTTGGCTAAGTAGAGTAAAGAAAAGTGACCTGGTGGCTTCCTTATTACTATCTTTTCTAATTATTGTGAATTCATTGGCACTTATTGTGACATAATCTGCATGTGTTTCTTTTACTGTAAAAGGGCATTAAAAGACCAGTGGTGCACAGGATCATATAAAATAAGATGGTATTAACAGACAATGAAATTATCATAACTGGCAATTAAAAAGAGGAGATTAAATACTTATTTCCAAATTGTCTTTTGGAAGGAAAGGAAACAGTGAAACAAGAGGCCTTCTTATATCTTTCTGCAGGTGCATGACACTCAAAACTGATATACTCCAGCTCTTCAGCACGTGCATGTCTTATTTCTAAAACAGATCCTCTCTATAGCACTGTTGTCCATTCTGAATACAATTTGCACTGAAAAAAATATTCGGAAAACTACTGCTAGAGACTTCTGTAGAAGTAGAAGAGACAATTTTAGTATATCAAGTTATGATGTCATTACAAGACCATTTGTACTAACTGGGCAAGGAGCAGATTGAAGCACAAGTAGCCCGAGCATTAATGTACATCACTGCATATACTTCTGATCAAACATTTCTGCAATTAAGTTTAACATAGATTACATAAAATATAAATTAAGCCTTTTTGATGAAAAGCTATTTCTATCATACAAGTTGCTAAGCATGAAAGAAAGATTAATACATGCATATACATTATAAATATAATGAAAAAAATATCCAGCAGTACTAATACGCAAATACTTTCTGCTTTTATTCTGTTTTATAGTATATTTGTTATCCTGAAATAGTTCAATTCATATTATATTTATGAAATTCCTTACCTCAAAGTGGGCAAAATGAGTTCTAAATTTTTGTATAGCACTGCTCCAAGTACAAATACGGTTGATTCATCTAGTTCTGAAAAGAGTAAGGAAAAAGATTTTAAAACTCTCTTTCCCAAGCTTTCATCAGCATGGATACCTCTGAATATAATTTATCTTTGCAATACTAGTTTTATTTTAAATAAACCCTCATAATTTTTAATTATCTCCCAGAAGTCTGTCATAGAAATGCAGCACTGTCAGGAGCATATCAAAAGATTTAAACCACCAAAATTCACGTTTTCAAAAAATTCATCATTGTATGCTGACATTCACTCTAATTCATTTACATTTATAATTAAGCATTCTCAAAGAATGTCTGTAGAGTAAATTCTCTAATATCAGAGTTCTGCACTGCAATGATATTTATAAATTATACCTGAAGTTAGGCTAATTCGCCTGCTGAGCTTCCTTTGGTAAGAGTGATGTTGGAATGACTGTCTGCTGGAACACAGCAGCTTCAGAGGGTTCAGCAGAGCTGCATTTCAGCTCACCTCATATCAAACAGATTAAAACTTGTGCACAATGACTAAGTAAAGCATTGTTTCTTTGGTGTAGAAAATAATGTCTAGGATTTATGCAGCACCTTTTCTTCAAGGTGCTGAAATTAAGCCCATTCATTTCTCTTTAGGATACATTTACGGGTCCTGTATTTTCTTTGAAGAGGAATAAAATAACCACTCCCATATTATACAGTGGTCCCATGAGACAGATTCAGAGTTGCCTTGCTAAAGCTCGTAGAAAATTAACATGCTGATATGCTTTTTTACCTGTTGACATAGGAGTGAAGATATTTTTTGGAATGACAACCCTGTCTTCTGAGTTTCGTGCCCAATCAACCATTCCTTTTCTTCCTTTCATGGGGAAATTGATGTCAGTTAAAACAGATGCAGCAGGAAGCTTCTGAATGCTAGCCACTAGTAAGAAAATAATAAAATCATATAAATTTAAAATGGTTTCATATGTTAAAGCATCATAGAGTGACAACAGTATAGCAGTAACAAAACTTTTGATGACACATTTCAAGTAAAGCAGGAATTCATAGTACATTAACTAGCACAGAAAGCATAATCTTCTGTTTATTATGCAGTTCTACTATGGATTAATTGTGTGGTATTGATCGTAACATTTGTCAGCCAGATTCTGATTAAATTTCTTAACAGGGATTATTGAATGTACCAGCTTATACCCTGAAATTCACACATAAGGACATTGTTGTGTCTTCAGAGCAAATTCTAAAATGATCAAATGTGACAATAAAACTAAGAGGATGCTTAAAATTCCTTTGGGAAACATAACTTCTAGATATAGGCTAATAAAGTAATAGAAGAACTAATATCCTCTATACAGGCACAATTTCAAGATAGATCCAGCAAGGAGATTGACATATCAAAAGATCTTGTTGTTTTCACATGAAATAAAGCAAAGCAGTATAGCACCTAATTTCCTTCAAAGAATAATCTCCATTCTGAACACTCAATTATATTTTTCCACCAAAAACCCCAACACCCAAACAACATCAGTGTTATTATCTATAATAGATATATCAAGACAGAAGAAATAGGTGTTAAATCTAGTAATAGTCAGTTTGGAATCTGATTTACTAATTTTGGTTTTTTCTCTGTTTTCTAACTCAACTATCACCTGGAAATCAGTTTCAGCTTTGCTGTGAAATCTAAGTAACTTCGTGGCAACACAGTCAGTGTAAGAGTCTAGTAAGTTTGAGTCTTACTAGACTCAAACTACTTTAAAGGAACTAACAGGGCTTCAAGGGTTTACAAACACTCAGATGACAAACACCACATTTGGAGCCTAGCTCCATTCTTAATGGAAGCCGTGTTGATAGCCATTTCCTGCACAATGCCCTTCCTAACCAATTTATGCACAGGCTAATGTAGTTGGAAGAGTTTGGATATCAGGACTATACTTTGATCTGCATAACGATTTCATTGCAAGGACTTTACAGGGGGTTAAACATAAATACAATGGGGGACAACTGTAAAAACAAGCAGAACAGCAAAATTAAAGTACAAAACCATTAGGTGTCTCTTATTTAAAAGAAAACTGTAATTCAAATCCAAGAGAAGAGTAAAATTTAGAAGTTAACAATATTAACTCTACAAATATATTCCTTAATAACTGACTTATTTTCAAATTAGACTGGTTATGTATTACAGAATCACATTAATGAGGTGGTACTTGAGGTTGTTTCAAACTTTCCATTATAAAACTATCATCAGGGTTTTATAATGCCAGATACAATCCCCTCCAGGCTGCAATTGGCAAATCCATTACCAGGACTAAGGGGATGCTTAGTCTTGTGAATTTTCAGGTGGTGTGCTGAGGGAATAGAGTTCAGGTGTTTCAGAATTACTGGGGCATAAAACGGATTGCGTGCTTTCACATGCAATCAATGGTTATACAGAATATAATAACATTGTAAAAATGGATTTTTTCCATTAGTTCTTAAAATTTAAAAATAATTTTATTTTTCCCATAAATAAAATTAAACTAACACTTATTTAGTTTTAAAAATTAAATACAGCCTGTGTAAGACAATACTGCGCTGGTTTTTTATTTGTACAGTAATTATCTGTACATCTACTTTCCTATCTATCTATCTATCTATCTATCTATCTATCTAATTAGACAGTAGAGCCTTAATATTTCATCTCCCTTTTGGATGACAGTTCCCTTTATTGAAATAGAAAATCAATGTTATACAATGGAATTCACTCTGCAAAACAGAAAACCACTTTAGGACTGGATAAGTGGTCAGGGTCTAGGACAGTACTTTCTGTACTTTGTCTCTCTCTGTATTTTAAATAGGGCCATTTATCATGGAACCTAAACAATACTCAGAACCAAAAATTCCAAAATATTTGTTATTGTTTAGGTGATGAATAACAACAGCAAAGCATAAAACCTAAAACTTTGACAAATGGCTTATATGGAATAAATGTGTTTATTGGGCAGTGTTGGGTTTACAGTTGGACTCAATTATCTCAAAGTTCTTTCCCAACTTAAATGATTCTATAATCTTATATATTCCTATTCTTCGTTCAGATAAATTTTACTTGCAATCAAACAAAAGTCTTGCTTATCAAGCTGGATCTCCATTTATGACAAAGTAACCCACCTAGCTGATCAAGGGAAGCCAGTAGATGTGATCTTCTTGGATTTCAGTCAAGCTTTTGATACTGTCTTTTACAGAATCCTTCTGGACACAATGTCCAGCATTCAGCTGGATAAACACATAATTTAATGGGTGAGCAACTGGCTCACAGGTCAGGCACAAAGGGTTCCACAGGGCCCCATCCTCAGCCCTGTTCTTGTCAACAACTTCATAAATGACTGGAGGCAGGACTGGAAGAGGCACTGAGCAAGTTCACAGATGGTATGAAACTGGCAGGAGCTGCTGAATTTCCCTCGAAGGCAGGGAGACCTCTCCTGCAGAGAGACCCTACTAAATCAGAGGGCTGGGCAATCACCAACCATCTCAAGTTGAACATGGGAAAGTGCTGGATTTGACACACGGGATGAGGCAAACCCTGGATTTCCATACAGACTGGGGAATGAGATTCTGGAAAGCAGTGCTATGGAAAGGTCCTAGGTGTCCTGGGTGATGGAAATTTGACTATGAGTCAGCAGTGCATATTCTATGTCCTTCAAAGTCTGCCTCTTACAAATCCACACAGATTATAAGGTCTTTTTTCAGATACTTTGCCAAATGGTTCCATGAGGATGTGCCTAACGTGGTTCTGATGCTCCAAAGTATAAGATAATTTAATGGAATTTGACTGGAGGCAACTAGTTCTGGTCTATCAACACAACCAGTTGGATACATGTAATAGTTCCCAGCTTTTCAGTGTTACTTTAAACGGCATTTTATATTTTAGGAAAGCTAATATTCTTATTAAATATTACTCTATGACTCATTTCAATAAAACTTTGGCTCATGATCAGCCGTATTTCCATTGTGAAATGAGGCTCTCTAACTCGGTTTTAATCTGCAGCATAAAATAATTACTTAATGTGAACTGAAAGTCAACAAGCCTTTTAGAAGAATATGTATGTATGTCTTTGTCACGATCCGCTACATCAGAACACAACATACATCAGAAACTTAAATGCAAGGTTCTTAAACACAGATAGTAAGATGTCATTCACTTTGCACTTTATTGCATTCTTTTTATGTTAGGTTTGTATTAGAAAACAATGCTTCAAATTCCAGAACCCGAATGATTCAGTTCTGCAACTGCCACACAAAGACTGTGTCTTCTCATTTGAAAAAAACAAGTTTCTCACAGGTTGTTTGGGGTTTTTGTTTGTTTGTTTGTTTTTTTAATTATTATTTGAAATTACCATACCAAACCATCATGTCCTGAACTGGTGAGATGGAACACTTGGCAAACAAGGATACTTTTAGGCACTGTGGTATGAGTATTTTTGCTTGTTTATACAAACACACAAATTGTATACTACTGGAAAAATAGTCAAAGAGAACATTAATAAGAATAAAAATGTAAAATGGGAAAAAAAAGATGAAAAAGCAAGAAAAAATATAAAACTAAAATTAAAATTACCTAAGCAGAACCTGACAAAAACCTTTATGTGTCATGTTAAATTAAACTCTTCCAATATGGAAAATTTTCTTTTAATTTATTTCTATCAAGGCAATTCCTATAAGTGCTGTTTTGGGCACCAAAATATAGGAAAGACATTAAGCTACTAGAGAGTGTTCCAAGGAGGGTGAGGAGGATGGTGAAGGGTCAGGAGGGGAAGCCGTGTGAGGAGCAGCTGAGGCCACTTGGTCTGTTCAGCCTGGAGGAGACTGAGGGGAGAATGTTGAACTCACTGTGGTGTTCAACACCCTCATGAGCGGAAGTGGAAGGGTAGGTACTGATCTCTTTACTCTGGTGACCAGTGACAGGATCCAAAGGAATGGCCTGAAGCCGTGCCAGGGGAGGTTTAGGTTGAATATGAAAAAAAAAGTTCTTCACTCAGAGGGTGGTTGGGCACTGGAACAAGCTCCCTGGGGATCACAGCACCAAGCCTGTGAGCTCAAGAAGCATTTGGACAAAGCTTTCAGGCCCATGGTGTGATTCTTGGGGTTGTCCTGCACAGGGTCAGGAGCTGGACTCAATGATGGATCTGTTCCAACTCAGCATATTCTATAATTGTATCATTCTGTAATTTAGTACAGGCGCTCACTGTGCACAGCTGCAGTGCAAGCTGCAGACTGAGCTCTGGGTAGTGGAAGCCTGAGACAGGATGCTTCTTTCAGTACTTTTTGATGTACTTTGGTATAAACTACAAGACGTAGTTCAATTACACATAAGAATACATACATATTTGATGATTCTATAGTAATTATTGATTCAGAAGAATCCACATAAGTAGTCTAATCAATTTAGTGATTGCTTTGAAGTGTAATGGATTAATTCTTAACATCCTTTACAATATTTTCCCTTTATTTCATTTTTGTGTTGCAATTGCAGATAACCTGTTTGATACTGCTCTACTGAAAATTTCAGAATTGGCAACTAACTAACTGATAATACTAAAACCAGTTAATACAAAATATTGTTGTAACTGATTAATGTCAAGCTGGTAGGAATAGACAGTTTTCCATCACTATAAAAAAGACCTGGTTACACACAATAATATGTGAATGATATTTAAGCAGATTATTTGGAACAGTACAAAAGTAGTTAATTAATGTTTCAAGAAAACTTGTAGTGAAAAAAATATTGTAGTTCCTGTATGAGTAACTCTTGTAGATCATGGCCTAGAAAAAAAAGCTGACATGTATTGCCTCGATCCCTATAACCCTAAGTGAGTTATAAGCAGCCTAATGCAACTTGGTAACTCTCTGTTTGATCTGGGTTGCCAAACAACAACAATAAAAAAAGCA